CTTTTTTTTAAAGGCTGGCCCGAATTTATGTAACTCCTTTGATTTTTTTTAAAGATTTAACTTTTTTTCAACTTTTTTTTTAATGTCTTGACAGACCACCCCCTTCCACTAAAACCCTTATTCCAGAAAAACAACTACTGGAAGGTTACAGATGCCCTTGACTCCCCAAGATTCAACCCCACCTTTGAGCATTTACCTGGCAAGTCAAATTGTTTTGCAGATCCCTTTTAAATCGCGACTGTTGTAATGAAACTGCAGCCCCTCCATTTAGTGTGAAGATGTAAAAAAAATGCTCAACGAACAGACCCCAGTGGTCTGGTTTTGGGTGATCGATTTCCTGCTCCGGAAGATTTTATTTTTGCTGGGAAGCCACCAGCCCCCATTCTTGACTTTTCATGAACCAAGAATTACTGTAGAACAGCCGAGTTGGGACTCCTAGCAAAAGGGGTTTTACCAGTTTTAAAAAAAAATTCCCCACCCCACTAGTGAATGTCCCCTTACAGCTAGTTCACGTTTTGTACCAGGGTTTTGGGGCACACCCTGGTATGGTCGTTCAGAAAAAACAAGCCAGATTGAAATATTTTTGGGCCCTCGAAGGCCCCTTGATTTTCTGGTATTTTTTAAGAAATGTAGTGTCTGCATGCAACAAAAAGGGCAAATGCTAATGGCCTAACCAAAACCCCAAGTATATCCAACTACTAGGAACCTTTGGGAAAGAGTTGCGCTGATTTGTTAAAAATTTTTTCCAATGTTCCCCCCAAGGAACAAACATTGTTTTTAATGGTGACCATTTACCAATATTGGAGTTATTCTATTGCAGTAAATCCCCGAGGACAGTAGTAAAGGTTTAAAGAACGCATTACGAGGCATACCCCCCTATGTCCCTAGTGACAGATAAAATGGAGGTGAATTCTGTAATGAAATTCTGAAAATTTGTGTAACTTGTACAAGATCTATAAATCCACCATTGTACTCATCATCCTGCCAGCAATGGGTTAGCGGAACGAACCATAAGAAAGTAAACTTGATGTCTTGAGAGCACTATCTATCCAACAGTGAAACTTGGGAATGAAGTTTATACCTGATGTGCAGTGTGCTATAAATTCTGCTTTACAATGTTTCTATAGGTGAAACTCCACATTATGATTGTATGGTGTACATAATCGTTTGCCTTATGAGTGTTATATTCTAATCCGAAACCAAAATACAACCCTGATGATTTATAGCAACTCGTACCGCTTGCTCAAAGTGTTTTTAGGAAAGAATCGTGAAACACTCATAAATAACAGCAGAATTTACAAGGTTGCAATACTCGAGCAAAAGCCATCCAAAATCAAAGTAGGTTCGAGAGTTATGCTGATTAACTTTAACAAAACGTCTGCAATGCAAAGCTTGATCAAAAGTTTGTTCGCGTTCCTTATGAGTAGTTGAAACATATCACTGGTATAAGTATCAAGGTTAGAGAGTTTAGTACTGGTCAGTATAAGAATAGCATTTAGATCATATGTAGTAGTATGGTGATGATAATGACGTTCCAACCCAGACTAATGTGACAGACTCTGTCAATCCCTCCTGATCACATGTACTCTCTTACTCTGATATCAGTCAGACGATCACCCTGAATGTCGTTATTCCTTGTACACGACAGGTATTGAGAAATCCTCAAGTCTCATTTGTAACTATCCATTTCAGATTTTGCCTCAATACTGCTATGAGTTAGCTCAATGCTACAGAGTTTGATCTCCCAGTGATGACACCCATCTGCCCTCACTTGCCAATCTTAACTAGCAGTGTTGGGGTTAAATGTAAATAAACCTGTATAGTTGATTTAATTACAGTATCAACTTATCAGTATTCAAGAATTTTTTTTTTTGTGTTCATGTTCTCTCCGCATTCTGAGAGTTTAACGTTCGGATTTGCGTGCACGATCTGCCGATCTGTTAAACACTCTTTCTTTGTATATATTCCTTCCTCAGAATCCGTAGATCAAACACGAATTACAGAACGACGATCAAAATTTTTTTTTGATCACTTGTAATCCCAACAGGTTGAGTTCGTTCATTTGTTGAGTTTTAAGTTGTAATATAGTATACCTTGTATTGCATTACAGTTTCAGTTACGTAAGCTTTCATTCCAATGTTCTACTTATGTATATATAATGTTTAATTGTTTGTGTACTTTGACATTGTATAGAATCAGCCCAAGCCGTATACCTGCCATCTCTAGTTTGTATTAGTTGTATGTCGGGACGACATACGTTAGCGTCGCCGAGCTCTCAGTAGTAGTAACCAGTTACCAGTAACCAGTGTACCGTTGACTCAACGACCAACCGTCTCTGCCTGAGTCACTGTCTATTCATATTGCGCTGAACTGGCATTATTCAAAAGGCCCTCTCACATATGGGTATGTGGGCGGCCGGTCAGCGAGTGTTACGAGTGTGAGCAAGGAGGCAAGGTAATGGCTGCGGTCTCTCTCCACATATCTGTAATTATACGTAATAACAGCCTACGTGAGTATTTCTTACCTAATCCACGTGTCGAACTCCCACATGATATGTGTGTGTGTGTGTGTGTGTGTGTGTGTGTGTGTGTGTGTGTGTGTGTGTGTGTGTGTGTGTACGTACTCGCCTAGTGTGGTTGCGGGGGTCGAGTCACATCTGGCCCAGCCTCTTCACCTGGCCGCTACCCGGTCACACTTCCCGCTCCGTGAACTTTATCATACCTCTTCTTAAAGCTATGTATGGATCCCGCCTCCACTACATCACTACCCAGGCTATTCCACTTCCTGAGAACTCTGACTGAAGAAATATTTCCTAAGGTCCCTGTGGTTCATCTGAGTCTTCAGCTTCCAACTGTGACCCCTCGTTGCTGTGTCCCATCTCTGGAACATCCCGTCTGCCCACCTTTTCTATACCTCTCTATTTTATATGTCGTTATCATTATCCCCCTAGCTCTCCTGTCTTCCAGTGTCGTCAGGTCGATTTCCCTTAACACCTCTTCGTAGGACATACCCCTTAGCTCCGGGACTAGTCTTGTTGCAAACCTTTGCACTTTCTCTAGTTTCCTTACATGCTTGGCTAGGTGAGGGTTCCAAACTGGCGCTGCATATTCCAATATGGGCCTCACGTACACAGTGTACAGAGTCCTGAATGACTCCTTATTTAGATGTTGGAATGCTGTTCTTAGGTTTGCCAGGCGCCAGTATGCTGCAGCAGTTATTTGGTTGATGTGTGCCTCAGATGTTCCCGGTGTTCTACTCACACCAAGAGTGAACTTTGTAGGCTCTGGCCCCCTAGACTGTATTCCGTCTGTGGTCTCCTTTGCCCTTCCCCAATCTTCATGACTCTGCACTTGGTGGGGTTGAACTCCAGGAGCCAGTTTCTGGACCAGGCCTGCAGTCTGTCCAGATCCCTCTGTAGTTCTGCCTGGTCTTAGACAGAATTCTTCTCATCAACTTCACATCATCTGCAAACAGGGACACTTCAGAGTCTATTCCTTCCGTCATGTTGTTCCAAATACCCGAGACAGTACCGGTCCTAGGACTGATCCCCATGGCACCCCGCTCGTTACCGGCGCCCACTCTGACACCTCGCCACATACCATGACTCGCTGTTGTCTTCCTGACAGGTATTCCCTGATCCACTGTAGTGCCTTCCCTGTTATCCCTGCTTGGTCCTCCAGTCCAAGAAAACGCAATCTACCCACCCTTCTCTGTCTTACTGCTGTTACCCTGTCATAGAACTCCAGTAGGTTTGCGACACAGGATTTCCCGTCCCTGAAACCGTGCTGGTTGTTGTTGGTAAGCTCATTTCTTTCTAGGTGTTCCACCACTCTTCTCCTGATAATCTTCTCCATGACTTTGCATGCTATACATGTCAGTGACATGTCTATAATTTAGTGCTTCTCGTCTATCTCCTTTTTTTTTAAAAATTGGGACCCCATTTGCTGTCTTCCATACCTCAGGTAATTTCCCTTTTCGATAAATGTGTTGAATATTGTTGTTAGGGGTACACAGTGCCTCTGCACCCTCTCTCAGGACCCATGGAGAGAGGTTATCCGGCCCCATCGCCTTTGAGGTGTCTAGCTCGCTCAGCAGCCTCTTCACTTCTTCCTCGGTTGTATGTATTGCGTCCAACACTTGGTGGTGTACCCCACCTCTTCGTCTTTCTGGAGTCCCTTCTGTCTCCTCTGTGAACACTTTGAATCTCTTGTTGAGTTCCTCACATACTTCTCGGTCGTTTCTTGTTGTCTCTCCTCCTTCCTTTCTTAGCCTGATTACCTGGGCCTTGACTATTGTTTTCCTCCTGATGTGGCTGTATAATAGCTTCTGGTCAGATCTGGCTTTCGCTGCTATGTCATTTTCATGTCGTTGGGCCTATCTTCTTACCTGTGCAGATTCATTTCTGGCTCTACTACTGCTCTCCTTATTCTCCTGGGTCCTTTGCCTTCTATTCTTCCATTCCCTAGCACACTTGGTTTCGGCCTCTCTGCACCTTTGGGTGAACCACGGGTTTATCCTGGCTTTTTCATTATTCCTGTTACCCTTGGGTACAAACCTTTCCTCAGCTTCCTTGCAAATTGTTGTCACGTATTCCATCATCTCGTTTATTGACTTCCCTGTCAGTTCTCTGTCCCACTGAACCCCGTTCAGGAAGTTCTTCATTCCCGCGTAGTCGCCTTTCTTGTAGTTTGGTTTTATTCGTCCGGCTCTTCCTGCTCCCCTATCCACTTTTAACTGTGTATTCGAATCTTAAAACCACATGATCGCTGTGTGTACGTATGTGTGTACGCGCGCGCGTGTGCGTGTGTGTGTGTACACTCACCTAGTTGTACTCACCTAATTGAGGTTGCAGGGGTCGAGTCCAAGCTCCTGGCCCCGCCTCTTCACTGGTCGCTACTAGGTCACTCTCCCTGAACCATGAGCTTTATCGTACCTCTGCTTAAAGCTGTGCGTGTGTGTACTCACCTAATTGCTCACCTAATTGTACTCACCTAATTGTGGTTGCAGGGGTCGAGACTCAGCTCCTGGCCCCGCCTCTTCACTGATCGCTACTGGATCCTCTCTCTCTCTGCTTCCTGAGCTTTGTCATACCTCTTCTTAAAACTATTTATTTATTTATTTACAATTTGAGACACATACAGAGGTACAAAAAAATACAGATAAGAGCAGCATGCCAAAGCCACTTATACTATGCATAGCATTACGGGCTGGCTTAAAATTAACTTAAGATTAACTAAGCAATGATGAAATCAGTGATAAAACATTAATGTAAACAGATAACTATAAAGCACAAATGAGTATTACAAAGACAGATCATATGGTTGCTTGCATTGTTGTACATTCAGTCGTATGAAGTATTCTGTTAGGTAGTGTATTTAAAAAATAATAAAGTTAGATTGGGTTTTAGGTTTAACATTTATGTGATATAATTGTGAGAAACATTTAAGATATACAATTTATAAGGTTCAGTTATTCAGTATTTATTTGGTTTTGGGTGAGTAAGTGATCTTTGAGAAGAGACTTGAATTTATAAACAGGTAGTGTTTCTTTTATATTTACAGGTAATGAATTCCAGATTTTAGGGCCTTTTGAGTTTTTGCATAGCGTGAGATGGACACGAGGAACATCAAAGAGTGATCTGTGCCTTGTGTTATGGTCATGTGTTCTGTTGAGGTTGGCAAGATGTTTGAGGGGAGGGTTAATATCAGAGTTAAGTGTTCTATGTATGTAATAGGTGCAGTAATAAGTATGGATGTTTTGTATGGTGAGTAGGTTTAGTGTATTGAATATTGGTGGAGTGTGCTGCCTGTAGTGAGAATTTGTTATTCTAACTGCAGCCTTTTGTTGGGTAATTAGTGGTCTGAGATGGTTAATTGTTGTTGAGCCCCATGCACAAATTCCATAGGTGAGATAGGGGTAAATAAGAGAGTGATAGAGGGCCAGGAGGGCTGACTGTGGAGCATAGTACCGTATCTTCGATAGTATGCCTACAGTCTTGGAAATTTTCTTAGAAATTTATTGTATATGTGTATGAAATTTGAGTCTATTATCAAGGTGGATTCCTAAGAATTTTCCCTCTGTTAGCTTTGTGATAGGTGATCCGTTTATTATGTTAAGAAGTACATCTGTAGCTCTGTTACCAAACTGAATGAAGTAGGTTTTGTCAATGTTTAGTGTAAGTTTGTTAGTCCTCATCCAGGTAGATATTTTCTGTAATTCGGTATTTACAGTATTGGCTAGCGTGACTGGGCTCGGGTGAGAGAAGACGTATGTCGTGTCATCTGCAAAAAGAGTGGGTTTGAGTAATTGCGAAGCATTTGGAAGGTCATTTATGTATAGGAGAAAGAGAAGAGGGCCAAGGACACTTCCCTGTGGGACACCAACTGTAATTGGTTGCGCAGAAGAGTTTGCCCCATTTGCGTTCACATATTGGCTTCTGTTGCTGAGGTATGACTTGAGGTAGTTGAGGGAGTGCCCTCTTATACCATAGTGTGACAATTTTACGTGGAGCAAGTCATGGTCAACTGTATCAAAAGCTTTACGTAAGTCAATGAAGATCCCAGTGGGACTTCTTTTTCTCTATGCAGTGTATATATGTTCTAGCATGTGTATAATAGCATCATTAGTATTTTTATTAGGCCTGAATCCAAATTGGCAGGGTTGAGTATGTTTTGGGAGATAAGGTAGGAGTAGATTCGTTTATGAATTAATTTTTGAAGATTTTGAGAGAGGGTGTAAGTTGGATATTGGCCTATAGTTATTCAACTCTGTTTGGTATCCTCCTTTGTGGATTGGGGTGACCCTTGCTATTTTGAGTACTGTAGGGAAGGTGGATGATTCTATGGATTTGTTTTAAAGAGTGTTGCAATGATTGGTGATAGCACTTGTGACAGTTTTTTGTATATAAAGGGTGGTAAGGTATTTAAATCTCCTGCCTTGTTTTTTAGTGCGTTGATAATAAGGGAGACTTCGTAAGGGGTTTGTCGGAGCTAGGAACAGTGTTGTTCGGGTAGTTGCCGGTGAGGTAGTCATTTGGTGAGGTATCTGAGCTTGGGATTTTATTGGCAAGGTTTTGTCCTATAGTGGAGAAGAAATCATTGAGTCTGTTTGCTGTTTCTGTTGGTGGGAGTTGGGTTCATCTGATTTTGCTAATTTTATTTCCGCTATTTCGTGATATCTTTTTTGTTCCCAGAATTTCTGATAGGGTTTTCCAGGTCTTTTTTATATCACCTCGTAAGTTGGATAATCTGTTCTCATAATACAATTTTTTTGCCTTTCTTATCAGCTGGTTAGGATTGACGAGTAACTTTTTGTTTGGTCTCTGGTTATGTGACCCATTCTGTACTGTTTTTCATATTGGTGTTTTGTATTTATGGATTTGAGAATGCTGGGTGTTAGCCAGGGACTGTTCAGTCTCTTAGCTGTCATCTGTTTAGTTTTTTTAGGGCAGTGCTTGTTATAGAGGTATTGGGTCTTTTTTAG